GTGTATGATTAAGTCTCCTCAAATTAAATGGGTTTTAGCGCAAGGGAACCTTTAGGTAAGAGTTTCCAACTTGGTATCTAGTATCATTGAAATTGTGGACTAAAGCTAGAGTTAGAGCCTGTTCGGTACTGAGAGCAGAAGGAAGGACCACTTCTATCCCTCCAGAGGCAATGCTGCTCGACTGGCACGTGCTGAAGTTTAAGGCAATTTTTTTAATCAAAGCACGTGGGATGTGTAGTAATTTCCCAGTTTAGATGGCAACCCCAGGTATGAAGCACCCTCTCTCCCCAAGTCCTTTAATCTTTTAATCTCATTATTAGTAATCAAGTCACAACAATATCTCCAGTCTTCCCTCAATTTAATGCTGGGTAGCCTCAAGCCTTACCAACATCTTTATGACCCATTCTAAAATTTAAAGCCTATGTTTTCACACTGAAAATCATGTGTCCGCATCTTAATCCACTATCACTGCCCCAAACTGAAGAGGCCAAGCAAAAGAGTTCTCTAAAACAAACAAACAAAGGACAAATAAAACAGAGCCAGATCCTATATTCAATGAGAAAGATAATGATTGGGGGGAAAAAGACAATTTCTTGCTATAAGCTCAGTGGCTGTGATATGAAAGAATTTTACTTCTCTCTCAATAAGGTACTGAGTTTCCTCAAGCACAATACCCTAAGCCGTTTATTTTGGAAAGTCTGGCAGCTAGGAAAGGTTCCTTTCCTGAAATTCCCAAGTTTGAAAAAAGGGCAGAAAATGATACCAAAGAGAACAAAAACCTGAGCTAATTCTGCTGCTAAACGACAGGATAAACTTGGAGGAATCACTGATTTTTCTGTCCTTCGTCTGTCATATGAGGGTAACAGCAGATGATGGGCCAGGTCCCCAGGAGCTCTTCTATTTAATGATTCTGGACATAGAGACTGACATAATATGGACACAGTCCCACAGTTTAAAATACCCAGAGGCAGCACAGTGATGTTAAAAAAAAGCAGCAGGCGTCTGGTGTCAGTCTGACTTTGAATTTGAATCCTGGTTCCAGCACTTACAAGCTGTGAAGCCTTTGGGAAGTTGCTTAACCTCTCTGGGCCTATGCTTTCTCATACACAGAGTGGGATAAACAAAACGTATGGCAGAGAGTTTGATCTAAAGCTTAAATGATAAAAAGTGCCGATCACACTGCTCCTTTGGAAATTAGCGGGGTCCCTACCTCCCTCTACCCTTTCCCTGCGCTGAGTTAAAACAGGAAAAGGCATGGATGACATTCTTTCTCGAATAAAGGGAGGAAATGATTTATAACTATGTAACTCTGAGAAAAGCTTAGTTACATGAACTCTTCTAGCAGTCTCCGGTGGATTTGGTCTGTGAAACCTTTTTTCCCTTTAGCATTTATTTATTATACAAATATAAATGCAGCCCTACTGTGTGCTATGCATCGTTCTAGGCAAAAGGGATACAGTAGAGAACAAAACAGGCCAGACCCCTGTCCTCCTGAAAGTTTTATTCTGATGGGTGTCTTCCAGAATAGTTTTAGAAATAACGTTATAGAAAACGTCTTCTCCTTTTNTATGCATCGTTCTAGGCAAAAGGGATACAGTAGAGAACAAAACAGGCCAGACCCCTGTCCTCCTGAAAGTTTTATTCTGATGGGTGTCTTCCAGAATAGTTTTAGAAATAATGTTATAGAAAACGTCTTCTTCTTTCGGGGGGTCATCCTGTTGGGCTTTAAGAAGCTTACCTTCTCCTGTTTCAAAGGCAAATGAAGCCCGCGGAGGTTAGCTTATACCTACATGTGGTTTAGGTGAGAAATCAGCAGGGTACAGAAGAGAACATGAGCTTAGAGTCAGCCAAATCTTGGCTCTGCCATTTACTGGAGATGCAGCCCTGGGCAAACAAATTAGCCAGGGGGCCTCAGTTTCCTTCAAAAGTATATCTGCTCAGTTTCCTTCAAAAGTATATCTGCTTGTGTCTTGACCTAGGTGCTTGATATATGTTATTTCNGCAAACAAATTAGCCAGGGGGCCTCAGTTTCCTTCAAAAGTATATCTGCTTGCAGAGGGATATATGGGACTTTATGAAATAACATATATCAAGCACCTAGGTCAAGACACAAGAGCGGAAACAGAACAATACTAATGATAATGTAGATTCCATTTTGTTATTATTTGCTTTCCCATTAATCAGAAAAGATGAGCTACCTTAAGGTTGGAGGCTCTCAAAGGGAAAGCTGTACTATCCATTCATGGCTGTTTCTGAAAAACGGCACAGAAATAGACACAACCCACACATGCCACTGATTGNAAATAGACACGGCCCACACATGCCACTGATTTCATTTTGCTTCAACCAGGCGACATCTGTCATGGAAAGTGTGTGTGCGTCTCATTAAGAAAATCTGTCTGACACGTCTCCCTAGCTCAACTCCTGTGATAAGATTTTTCTTTGTTCAGAGTGCCTGCTGCCAAAACAACGTTCACGAAACCCTTCGTGTGGAAAGAGAAAGGACGGGTTAGTTTTACCAAAAGCAAGTTATGCACAAGGTGAGGGCCGCATTTCCACGGCCTNCACAAGGTAAGGGCCGCATTTCCATGGCCTATAAAATGCACAACTGGTGGAGAGATACGGAGCTCGCTCAGGGGGATCCTGTTTTCAATGAATTACAACCGTGATAGTCGATACATNAAACAACGTTCACGAAACCCTTCGTGTGGAAAGAGAAAGGACGGGTTAGTTTTACCAAAAGCAAGTTATGCACAAGGTGAGGGCCGCATTTCCACGGCCTATAAAATGCACAACTGGTGGAGAGATACGGAGCTCGCTCAGGGGGATCCCATTTTCAATGAATTACAACCGCGATAGTCGATACACGAAAAATTACAGAATGTCTACCCACTTGGGATATTTTTATCATCGTTTTCCAGGTGAGATCCTGAACCAAACAGTTCACCTTCATTACACAGGGTGAATGTAAAAAAGTGAGTTATGCCCTAGTCCAAGGGGTCCTCACTGAACGCATTTACCAGACATCCTGAGGGGTCTTCCTTAATCACATCCCGGCTTTGTCCTATTTATTCCAGGCTTTTAACATTTCCCATAGCATCCACCACCTAATTCTTTCTCTCTACCCATTAACAGAGAACAAGACAGCATGTGCATGTGTGTCCGTGTGTGTGCACTGTGTGTGTGTCGTCTCTCTGAATTTCACACTAGAGCAGTAATTCTCAATTTGGGCTGATATTAAAATCATCTAAGGAATACTTTCATTTTCAAAGCTGCTGATGCTGACTTAGTTGGTCTGGATTTTGGCTGGGCGCTGGCGTTTTTGTAAGTTTTCACAGAAAATTCCAATGCGCACCCCAGGTTGAGAACCACTGCGCTAGGATGTAGAGACTTCTTCCTTCCACCCCTTTTCTTTTTCAGTCTATTTTTATGCTGAATATTTGGGTTAAACATAAATTTGAAAACTGTATCTAAGTTTTTCCAGTGTTGGAAATGTCTCACTGAATAGATGTGGCCATTATTTTTCATTAGAACTGTGTAGCTGTCTCCAGACAAGTGACATTTGTGAAGTTGGAACATGCACAGAGTCCTGACCCAACCCCACGCCCTACCTTCCAAATACACATACAACCAGCCGACATTTCCATGACCTGGAAAGGGCAGCCTGAGTCCTAGCATGTCCTCTGCAGTCCATCCAGCCTACACCTGGCCATCCCAAAGTCAGAGGTAACCATCTCCATGGACAACTCCAGCAGAGGCTGAAGAGCTAAGCCTGTGAAATGAGGCCTTTCTCACACCAGCAGCAAGCAAGCCCATCCTCTCTGATTTCTGGGGATATTTTTCTCCAATATTATGAGCTTTATGACTGCTTTTCTGAGTTTCTCCTTATAATTAACCTGGCCAAAATGAATTTTCAGGTCCATTTTTTTTTAGCTCAAATCTGAGTAGAGACCGAGGAGATATTTTAATTTAGAGTTCACTGAGGCCCATTGTATTTGTTTGCTAGGGCTGGGCGCCATACCACAGAGTCGGTGGCTTAAACAATAGAAATTTACATTCCCACAGTTCCTGAAGCTAGAAGTCCAAGGTCAAGGTGTGGAGAGGGTTGATTTCTTCTGAGGCCTCCCTCCTTGGCTTTTCGATGCCTCTTCTCCCTGCTCCTTCACATGGTCTTACCTCCGTGTTTGTCTATATCTTAATCTCCTCTTAAATGCCTGTCATATTGTATTAGGGCCGTCCATATGATATCATTTAATTTTTAGCTCTTTAAAGGCCCTATCTTCAAATACAGTCACATTCTAAAATACTGAGGGTTAGGACTTCAGTATTTAAATTGGAGAGAGGCACACAATTCAGCCTATAACACCCAGGAGTTAAAAGAGTCTGTCTTCCCTCAGCTGGGAGTCTATTTGTAGGAAACCATGCCCATGATATTGGTTTTAGTTTGATATTTACTCTCTCCAGCATAAGAATAGGGTCTGACTTTCTGGAAATGAATAGAAAGCTAGCTCTATATGATTCAAAAATGCCGTGATAAATGTAGTTGGTAAGCTAAAAAAGAAAATAAAGGCTCTGGAAGAAGTATAAGAAAGACAAAACTTATCAAGGTATGCGGTGAAAAAGGAAACTGTAAAATAATTTAACTGATGTCATGTAAACTACATATGTTAGATAATCCAGGAAAGACTTGACTTTAAATTTTCTGCCTCATGACCTTTATAAGCTTGTTCGTACTTGTCAGAATGTAGTCCCAATTTAGGGCTTGGAAAAAGGCCACCCTATAGCAACTGTCTTAATTGGCCTGTTTCGCTAAGCTGTTTATTTGTTCCAGGAGACTGTCCAATACCCCCATCTGTGCTGAGGACTTCAGTCGCTTGCAGAAAAGCACTTGTGTGAAGCTTAATATATGGGGCTTTTTCAATTCCTTTCTGAAGACCCTTCCTGGTCGGTTGGTCCATTCATCCTGGAACTGCGGGCAAGGGGCAAGAGCAGGGGCTCACCTTGAGGCTTGGGCTTGGTCACCTTGCCGCAGGGCTTGGAGATGGTGACGGTCTTCTGGCAGTCGGCATTGTGCAGGGCGCGCTTCAGGCTCCCAGTTCTGGTCTTCAGGGCGGTATTCAGGTCGCATTCTCCCCAGGCCTGGAACTGGTATTTGCACTCCGCTGAAAGCAGGGGAAGACCAAACAGAAACTCTTGAAAGATCCCATTATAGTGCCATGAAAATAAAGGCACTTTTGCTGTTAACTCTTTGGAGTGAAGTAACTGTAGCTTCACATGCACTTGTAAGAAATAAGAGAGAGCCCATATACCCTCGATTGTGATGTCATCCATGGCTGTGACGCAATAGCACAACATGGAAACGGGCATGGGTACATGTCNTGTAGCTTCACATGCACTTGTAAGAAATAAGAGAGAGCCCATATACCCTCAATTGTGATGTCATCCATGGCTGTGACGCAATAGCACAACAAGGAAACGGGCATGGATACATGTCACAGACCCTATTCAGGCTCCGCCAGTTTTACATGCATTCATTTAGGTATGGGGGTGGGGTGGGGGGCTTGGTTCTGTGCAACTCCATCACATGTGCAGATACAAATGACCACCACCACCATTTATAGTCAAAACAGTTCCAACACCAGGTCCCTTGGGCTAGCCTTCTATAGTCATAGCNTGGGGGGCTTGGTTCTGTGCAACTCCATCACATGTGCAGATACAAATGACCACCACCACCATTTATAGTCAAAACAGTTCCAACACCAGGTCCCTTGGGCTAGCCTTCTATGGTCATAGCTACCCAACGTCCTCCCTTCCCCTCTCTCTCTAGCCTCTGGCAACCACCATTCTGTTCTCCATTGATGGAATTTTTTTCATCTTAATTTTGTCATTCATCTACATAAACAGAATCAAACATTATGGAAACTTTTGAGAGTGTTTCTTTTCCCCCACTCAGCATAAGAACCTGGAGGTCTATCCAGGTCGTGTGTTTCAATAGCCTGTTCCTTTTCATTGCTGAGTAATATTCCAAAAGTAGGGCAAAAGCAGGGTTACAGTTGTGAGTACGTGAAACAGAGTTTATTTTTGTATTATTATTTATTAATTATTGTATTATTTTTCCATATGAACAACTGTAAACCTACTTTTGTCCCACCCTGTATATCTACCCCAATTTGTTTAACCATTCACCAGCTGAAGGACTTCTGGCTGGTTCCCAGCTCTTGGCTATGACAAATAAAGCTGCCCTATACATCCATGTACAGATTTTTGTGGTGCAGTAAGTTTTCATTTCTTTAGGATCACTGCCCGAGAGTGAAGCCACTGCACTGCGTGATAAGCACATGTTTATTTTTGTAAAAAACTGCCATACGACTGGACCGTGTTACATTCCCATCAGTGACACATACATGATCTAGTTCTTCCACCTCCTCTAGTATCTGGTGTTACTTTTTATTTTAGCAACTCTGAGAGGTGGACGGTGTATAGTGACATCTGATTCATTCTCATTTTCATTTCCCTACTGGGGGAAAATGTTGAACATCTTTTGAGGTGCTTGCTACCCATGTATCCTCTTTGGTATAATGTCTGTTCATGCCTTTTGCCCACTTTATAACTGAATTGTGAGTTTTGAGAGTTCATTCTACATTCTACATACAAGTCCTCTAAGACACACTTTTTAAAACTCTTTGTAGGTGGGTCTGTATGGTACTCAGACATGATTTAAGGTCACATGTATCTGGATCATGCCAGGCTTTTATAGGACTTATGTCCATTCATAAAAAGTGCCCCAGAGGTAATAAAAAATGAAAAGAAATTGCCCTTCTTCACCGGCCTATAAGACAGAGTACCTGTCTATAGAACAGTCAGAATATGTGGGTCCCACCATGGCTAAGAAAGACAAAAATCTGAGAATATGAAAAAAAACACAACACAGGTAATTTGGATGTGCAATAGTGGGTTTAAAATTAGAAAAGTTGAAAGAGTCCTCAAATCGGTAGATGAGCAGACTGGCAATAGTCAGTGGGAGGAAAATCTATGAAAAGTGGCCATCATCAGCCCTGCTGGGTTTGATAAGTAGGTCTATGAACCAGTGTGGAAGGTGGGCAGGGGTCAGAAGAGCAAGAGGGCCCGAAAGTAACAGAAAGAGAGCTGGACAAGGGGGAGAATAAATGTTAAAAAGAGGAAAGAAAGACACAAGGAACTTAGAAGAAAGAGCAACACTATCTTGTCCAAAATGCTAGTAGCGCTGAAGCTGAGAAACCCTGGGGTTAGGCAAAAGGTCTTATTCTTTCGTATCTGAAAAGATAAACTTATTTAAAATAAATGATAGTCAACCTCAAAAAGAGACTTGGTGGAAGCATGCAGGAATTATGCCGCCGTGGGAGATAAGTGAGCAGGCCGCCAGGGTGGGACTCACCTCCAAATTGCTTTTTCCAGTTGCAGGGGATCTTACATCTCTGGGTCTTCATGGTCTGTTTGCACTCGGTGCCGCTGCGGGTGCCCTCCCGGGTGCCCAGCCCGCAGTCGCCGCTGGTGGGCACGCACACGCTCCACTGCCACTCTCCGCAGTCGGACTTCTTCACTTTCTTTTCTGGAGGAAGGACAGATAATCAGCAGGCAGAAAGCTCTTCAACCCTGCATATAACGGGGTTCCTTCCTGGGGCCCCTCATTACGGGGCCTGTGCTTTTTACCCCTCTCCAGTGCCCAGCCAACAGCAGGGGCTGGACAGGCCTTGGCACAGTGACTGAATCACCGAGTGACCAGGGCAAGGGGGAGAGGAAGCGGAGGGGGCCTCGGCTGAGACTGATCTAACTCCCTGCGTGCCAGGGGCTGTGCCAAGTGACTTACTGACGTCTCCTCTCAGAGGCAAACATTTCTATGACAGAACACGGTCAAAAACAGGTCAGTCTAGAACATGAGGACACATTCCATTGGAAGCAACGGCGCTGAAACGAGCTTTCTCAATGCAAGCCCACGACCCTCTCTCTGTCTTAGAGACAGGACAGCGTGATGCCAACGTGGCGGAGCCACTCCCGGCTCAGGCTGCCTCCCGGGAGCCAGGGCAAAGGCGCTTTGCCCACAAATGAGAGGGGGTGTCGCTCAGGTTCCTTGAAACGAAGGAGGGAGGGAGGGGG